CGATCTGAATATAAAGCAATTTTACAGAAGTACTTTTCACAAAAAATACTTTTCTTAGTATTTCATCATTGGAAATTTATGAGCAACTTTTCTTTTCTTTTTATGTGCCGTGTCATTTCAGAACGTAGACAATCATGGCTCTCCACATCCTCCTATCCTATTGTAGCTCCCAATAAGTTTCGTGCCTCTGACAACTCCCCCAGACCACGTTCTATCATCCACTTAAGCCCGCCAGGTATGTCAAGCGTTGCTTTCCCTTGTCTCTTTTTCCTTCTGTTCGATCTTTGAGTATCAGATTCTCTAGGCCCCCCTTTCTCATTACACGTCCCAGAAATTACATCTGCCTCTTCCTGGTTTTGAGTATAAGCTTCCTCCTTGTTTGCATCCTCTCCAAGACCTCATCGTTGCTCACACACTCACTCCATGATATCCTTAGGATCCTTCTGTAGAACAACATCTCCGTCGCTTTGAGTCTCTTCATTTTTGAGGAGACCGTCCAACATTCGCTGTCGTATAGGAGGACAGACGTCACGTAGCAGCGCATCACTCTTTTCTTTGTCACCAAAGGAAACCTTCTGTTTCGCAGTCCTCTGCCCAGATTTTGGAATACATCCTTGGCCATCCCAATTCGTCTTCGGATCTCAGCATCGCACCTACCGGACTTTGTCAAAACACTTCCCAGATATTTAGACTTCCACACATGCTTGATGCAAATCGTATTTCGGGCTCATCCTTTTACTGATGGCCATGCATTATGTCTTCTCGTTGTTTATGGTTAGTCCTTTCATCTTGCTCTCCCTCGTTTTCTTCTGTAGGAGGTTTTCTAGTTTCTTTCTGTGTCTGCTATCAGTACTGTGTCATCTGCGTATCTTATGTTGGCAAGATTGTGACCGCCAATGTTGAATCCCGGTAGGATTTTCAATTCTCTCAGACACTAATTACTTTTACGCATTTCCTGTACTTGACCGGGGTAACTGAAAAACGAAGCCTGATTCATGTAAATAAAGATAATGACAAAGATATCTTAAATTCATTTTATTTCATTTCTTTCACCTTGGATATGTAATGAATTAATTTTAATTTCTCTCTCCTCTCTCTCTCTCTCTATATATATATATATATATATATATATATATATATATATTTTAGTTTATGAAAATTAGGTAATCCGTATGGGTATGACCCAAGGAGGATAAAACCCAGAGAGCTCAATGTAAATCCAGAGCAAATAATTTAAATAAAAGACCACTTTATAGGTTTCATGTAATAAATTATTTCCCCACAGCAGTTTTTTTAGGACTGCGGATCATCAGACTTTACTTTAAAGTCTGATGATCCGCAGTCCTTAAAAGGTTGTGGGGAAATAATTTATTACATGGAACCTAAAAGGGTCTGTTTTATATATATATATATATATATATATATATATATATATATATATATATATATATACACGAATACAAGGTTGGTATAGACGGAATAAAATTCCAGTAACCAACAACACTATTTTTAAATAATATTTATGTTGGTCACATCACAAATTCGCTTTCACGACGCTTGACTCTACATTTGAATAATAACTCTAACATTTTTAGGCATTTAAAACAACATGCCTGGCTGCATAGACAATTCCGGAAAATTCTCGTTGAAAACACAACTATACTTAAACATGAAAACAATAAACAAAAACTAAAAATTCTTGAAGCTATATACATAAAACAGTTGAAACCTAATCTGAACAAAATAAACTATGAAATCTCCACAAATATACTTAAATGCCTACAATTGATAATAGAAGCCATTGGTTTATACTAACGGCTTTCCATACTTAACATTTTTTGTTTTACTCTTGCGTGATCATGTGTGACGTAATGTGCCGGGGTACGATTTTCGCTTCCAGCGTCTACTATGTACGAGTTTGTCGTTGCTTGGAGATCTTCCATGCAAACCAAAAACAGACAATCATTATTGCCATGTCCATGTATTATTCAATGTTATTGTCATCTTTGATGATGGCTTATGTAAGCCGAAACATGTATCAATATGGTAATATTCTTTCGTTTTTCAATGATAATGTTACTAAAGCTTATTCAATAGAAAGGAATTTGCATAAAATAAATAGACAAAAACTTATCAATATTATTTAATGAAACATGCATCAATGAAAAAATGCTGCCTGAATACACACACACACACAATATATATATATATATATTGAATATAAACAAAGCGTCTACTCAGTTACGAATATCCATAAGTGGTAAAAACACACACACACACACACACACACACACACACACACACACACATATATATATATATATATATATATATATATATATATATATATATATATATATATATATATATATATACAAAAAAAAAAAAAAAATTACCAAAACATAGGGTGTTCATGAAACCTAGAATTTTCCCATTTATTTGAGGATTCGGACCTTTTTCGTTAAATTCCCAAATTTTTTCCGAAAGGGCTGTTTGGTGTTTTAGGAATTTTGGGGAATTGCATCCTAATACTCACCCCTAATTTTGTTTATTATTTTTTTTAGGAAAAAATGCATGTTATACATGGGGAATTACGGCGAGAGTGATAGATAGATAGATAGATAGATAGATAGATAGATAGATAGATCGATCGATAGATAGATAGATAGATAGATAGATAGATAGATAGATAGATGGGAAATCGATATATAACTTTTTAATGATTATTCATTAAGTAAATGTAATAATAATAATCAAGAACAAATAATTAAGTAATATATAATCAATAAATGTATAAAACGTTAAAAACAACACAATAAACAATGTAGAAATAACCGCATTCAGATTATAATTATTTCTCCTCAGTAACCTCTAGAATGATTTGAAACATAACAGATACCACCCACGCAGTAACTGTCAGGATAATACAATAGATTTTGTATTACACATAATGCACCCACTGCCAAGCATATATAAATAGACGAGCCAAAACACAGTACAAATGACCGGGAGATTATGTTCAAGCATGAAACAGGCTGTTGCCACTTGTTGTTGACCTCAGTGGCCACTTGCATAAGTAAATACACTCTATCTCTTATAATGAGCACTTTTATCCCTAAATATAGCATAAATTACAATGATATATTTCTCATATATATATATGTGTGTGTGTGCATGTATGTGTATTTGTGTGTGTGTGTAGGTTTCGTATAATTTGATTCCAGAGCCTTACTTGCTCAATATTCCAGTGTTAAGTAATCTTTACAACATCATTATAATCACTTGGTGATCACCTGGCGTGGGCGAGTACTTTAGTTAGAATATATATATATATATATATATATATATATATATATATTCATTCAAGAAATCAGTAAAAAGTTCAGTTGAATTATCTGATTGACCGACTCTAGAGTTTCGCGTGGAAACGCTGATCATCACATATTTTTACTCCTCGGTACAAACGTTTCTTATTTGAATTTTTTTGAATGTCTAACGTGGTAGGAAATTAAAATTTGAAAGTTATACTTATCTTTTTTTCCGAGGAATATAAATATGCGATCTAATAATTACAATAGATTTATCGATTATCTGGCCCCGATAAGCTTTTTGACGCGAAACTCTTGAGTCAGTCAGTGAGATAAGTCATCTCACCTTTTATTGATTTATTGAATATAATAGCTCAAGTTGTCTATTGAATCCTTTTTTTTTTTCGCAGAGGTTTTTTGACGCATTGAAGCTTAAAATTTATCAGCTCAGTCGCCCATCTCATTTATTGTAACCATTCTCTCGAATATCAGAGCGTGTTCAGCTGCTAAAAATAAACCACTCGAAATATCATGTGTACAATATTGTATTTAAAATGTAGCTATCTGAATTATTCCCGAAGAGATAAGATCCAACAGACATCTCTGATATTGAGATCAATATCAAGGCAATAATTTTGCACGTCACAGTGAATATATCGATTCTTTGACTCATTCTGTTGTAGTGTTGGTTCCTCTTTTATTGAATTCAATATGTGTGTGTTTTTTTAACTTTGTCAAGCCATCACTATTTGCTCGCTCTTAAGCACCTGTCTTCAAAATCTTGCATCATGGCAGCATCGTGTTCCTTTATAATTCCAATTGAACATCTCAGGAATAATATTCTTGAATTAATCAAAGAGACCTGTTTCCTTCTTTCATGTACCGTTTACTTTCAGGACGATCATAGCTCTCCACAACTTCCTGTCTTTTGTTTCTCTAAGTAACTTTTGATATTTCCTCATCACTCATTGTCGATATTCTGCCATCCACTTACACTCGCTCGTTAGCTATGTTTCCACTCGCTTCTCTTGTCTTCTTTATATCCTGAGCCCTATTTACTCATTATTTATCTTTGTGATTAAAATTTTGTGTGTTCTAGCTCTCATTTTTGTTAAACCTTCCCAGTTGATCACATTTTCAGTCCATGTTATTCTCGGCATATTTCTGTAGAACAAACATTTCTGTCACTTTACGATTCTTCATCTTTAAGGAAATTGTCCGCCATTGATTAGCATATACGAGTATAGATATAATATAAAATTTTTCGTTGATACATATATATATATATATATATATATATATATATATATAATTTATGTGTTTATATTATATAAAAGATGTATAACCATTAACATATATATCCATAATATAAAACACAATGTGATTTTTTATTTACGCATCGGTAACGCATCCTTATTTTCTGTATTAGACATAATAGGATATTCCGTTGTTATGACACCATATAATAAACTAAAGTATCGTCCAAGTT